TTTTTCTTTAATTAAGACTTGAGAAATGTATCTTAAAAATATTTAAATATTTAAGAAATATAAAGACATGGAAAGATATTTAAGCTAAATTGAAGAATAAAAATTCGTTATAAAAATATTAAATATTTGTTAAATTAGTTACTCATAAAAACACTTATAATTTCCTTAAAGCATAGTTCGTATATAAAGAAAAAATTTCAAAATAATTTTATTACTTTTAACTGCTACTAAAAATATCATCAGAGTGTTACATTATTGCAAAACTACAGTTACATCGATAATTAAGATAATCAAGTGCTTTATTAATAATGCAACTGAGTTCGGATATCATTACAGGAGATAATTGTAACCAGGCATCTAGAAATTAATTATAAGAATAAGAAAAATACTTCCGGTAATTTCTGCAATAATGACATTTCATGCCACTCCTTAGAATCATAAGAAAAAAATAACAGAGAAATAAAAAAAGGGGAGGGGGAATCAAAAGAGAAAAATACTAAAGAGGTCAGGCAACATAACCTTATCTGGTATTATTGTTATTATCCTGATTGTTTAACTGTTTCTCTATTAAACGAGGTGGTTCTTTAGGGAGCTTACCACTTATCGTTAACAATTTTTTAAACTAAATTTCATTACAGCAAGGTTAAAGTTTTCAACCGTGAAAAATAATAAGTCATTTTTTTTTATTATCTATCTCCCGAATCCAAAAACAATAAAACTTCTTTTGAAAAAAAAATATAATTAAATTACCTTAAATTTAACTTTGAATTTATCAATCACTAATTTTTTGAAGCGTAAATTTAATTTAGTTTTTTCTACTTTTTTTTAAATTCTTCTTCTTCTTCTTCTTTTTTCTTTTTTGATTATCTTTTAATCTTAGATGATTCGATTGTTCTTAAGATAGGATGATCTCTTCTAACGATGATCTTCATATTTTTAAGATAATTTAAATCGTTGTAGAAATGGGGAAGAATCTTATGAATAATTAATAGGATAAAGGCGAGATTATCATTTAATTTATCTTTCAATCAATAAAAGAGAACCTCTGAAATTGAAATATTGTTTAATTTTAAAGTAAAATTCTCCATCAATTAAAAATTGGAGATTTAAAATCATCATCATATTAAAATTTACATAATGAATTTCTAATATAGCTAATTGTTGATTTATTGTATATTTTATGCATGCTTTATACTATCAGTACTGAATTGTATCAGAGTTTATACCTGAATGATATGTGTTCTTTTCAACTGGAGAATGAGATTAAATAATTTGGCTGTCATTAACTATTAAAAAAACAAGAAGACCCTTATGGAAAAATATCTGAATTTTCTCAATTTAAGTATATATGAAGAGCAAACTTATAATGCTGCAAATACGATAAATTAATTTTCAATAGTACAAATTTATCACCTTGGCAACATATGCGCACAAAGTTTATTGGTTAACTGTTAATTAATACCTTATTTCCTTTAATATAAGGCTTCATTGTCTTAGCATAACTAAGAGAATATATTTATAAAATCATTTAGTTGTAATTTAGTGTGTTAATATATACTGTATTTGCATTATTAGATATTCAAAAAGTCTCTCTGAATTGCAATACTTTTTGAATAAACTCAGAGGGTAACTGTTAGCCATGAAGAATTCTTAAAGATAATTATCACTTAAATGTTTTAACCATTAGAAAGAAAAATTCAAATTACAAAATGACAGTTGAATTAATTATAAATGAAGAAATAACACAGTTTTTTATTTTCTGTGATAAGAACAAAACTGATTGCTGACTTTGTGAACTATTTATAAGTATCTAGGATGATGACAAAAATAAGCCTAAACACCATGACAATGGCATTGTATTTTGCTTTCAGTCCAAATTTTGAAATTATAAAAAATCAGTCATAATTTAGTCCAAAATATAACCAAAGATAAGCATTAATTTAAGATTTAGGCTTAAGATTTTGATTTGTATTTGTATTAACATGTACATACTTAGGACGACAATTTCAATCTTGTATCACTTGCCAATTTTATTCAAATAATACCCATTCTTGAATAGTAACTGCATCTCATCCTTAAACTTGAAATAATAATCATGGCTACTATTAGAGGAAATTTAGGGAGGCAACTAAAATTAATTACTACTGTGAATTACAATAGGTAGGTAGGTACCATACTTATTTAAAGAACAAACTATAATAGAAAATATACCTAGTGTATGTTGTGGAATTTTTTTATTACTGATATGTTGAAGTATTATCATTA